GGTTGACCAATTACGAAAGAGATACAACAAATTCAATTAAGAGTAAGCAACAGAAGGATAATCATAACCTCAATTAGGGATGAACAATTACAGGACAGATAATTATACTTTTAATTAAGGGGAAGCGACTAGGAAGGGATAGCATGACAATAGAAGAGGTAACAACTTCAGTTAAATCATATAAGAGTCAAATAGGCAAAAAAAATGGATCATGAAGCAATTAATTCCAATTAAAGCATGTAGAGGTGAAACTAGTAAATAGAGAATTAAATCATAGTGAAACAACTTCATATCTAGTGAATATAAAGACCTGAGAGCCCTAAAAGGTCAACTTTCCACAAAATAAGCCCGAGCACGTACTCGTCACCTTGCGTACACGGACTTTACATGATACAATTAGCATAGAAGACTCAAATCCTAGGGATAGTTTCCCCACACGAAGTTAAGCAAGATACTTACCTCAAAGCAGACAGACCGATATTCTAAAATGAACTTCTCGGGTGAAATAACCTCCGGACGGCTCAAATCTAGCCAAAATAACTTCAAAACATAAATAAAACTCATAAAAACTATTCCGGATAATAAAGCTTCAATCTTTATCAAAAACTAAAAATCAACCGAAAAGTCGACCCCCTAGCCCGCACCTCGGAACCAGATAAATTTCAGAAAACTCGAACACCAATTCCGATACGAGTTCAACCATACTAAAATTATCAAATTCTGATACCATTTCGCCCCTCAAATCATCATTTTACATTTTGAAAGTTTTCTTAAAAAATTCTCATTTTTCCTCAACTCAAAACACAAATTATAAGATGAAATTAAAAATAGAATTATGGAATATAATAAATTATAGGTGAAGAACACTTAATGATTGGCTTGAAAAACCCACGAAAAATCTCCTAAAACCGAGGTCTAAAACTCAAAATATGGAGAAAATGGCGAAACCCTCGAATATAAACTCTCTGCCCAGGTATGACCGCACCTGCGACATAATTAGCCACTTCTGCGGTGTCGCTTCTATGACAAAAGAACCGTACATGCGAAGACCACTGACCAGCTTCCGTCTCGCACCTGCGGACATCCAACTGCAAGTGCACATGCCCAAACCGCATATGCGCTCAAGCTCGCCTCTATGCCCAAGAATCCGCTTCTACGGAGCTGCAGATGCGCACCAATTTTCCGCATCTGCGAAGACTGCCAAGCTCAGCCCTTCACGCGCATGCGTCCTCATCTTCGCACCTGCGACCATCCCACCTCCGCCCAGGGTCTGCAGGTGCGATTACACCAGAACTCAGACTATTCACAACTATGAAAATCATCTGCAACTCGTCCGAAACACACTCGGGGCCCCTGGGACCCCGTCCAAGCACACCAACAAGTTCCATAACCTAGCACGGACTTGCTCGAGGCCTCAAATCACATCAAACAACGTCAAAACTACGAATCTCACCATGAGTTGAACTTATGAACTTTCAATCTTTCAACTTCTAAAACTCGCATCGAAACCTATCAAACCAACCCGGAATGATGTCAAATTTTGCAAGCAAGTCCCAAATGACATAACAGAGATGTTCCAACTCTCGGAATCGCATTCCGACCCCGATATTACCAAAGTCAACTCTTGGTCAAACCTCTCAACCTTCCAAACTTCAACTTTTCCAACTTTCGCCGAAATGCTTCAAATTACCCTACAGACCTCCAAATCCAAATTCGGACATGCGTCTAAGTACAAAATCACCATACGAAGCTGTCGGAACCATCCAAACCTCATTCCGTAGTCGTTTACACAAAAGTCAAATTTCGGTCAACTCTTACCGCTTAAGCTCCCAAAACTAGAATCCTTCTTCCAAATTGGCTCTGAATCATCCGGTAACTAAACTCGACCACGCACAAAGTTGCTCAAGACCTTATGCCGCCGAACGAGACCTTAAATTCTCAAAATAACCGGTCGGGTCATTACATCAATACTAGCATTCGTCATCCACATTAGCCCAACTCCAGAATATGCACGCAAGGAGCAGAAGTATAGTGTGAGTACAACATATCTCATGTATTTTAGTAAGTATTTTGACTAACTTTACAGAAGTAATGATAGAGTTTTATGTCAAAGATATTCACTATACATAACCCGTGCAGCTCAAAAGCATATATAATAACAGAGAAATATCCAAGGAACAACAAAATAACATTGGATGTCAACAATAATATGTGAGATTCGGGAATAAGGTAATTAGCATGCCTTTTAAATAACTAGATTAAAATATGTACAATTGCACCCAATACGCATATCTACACAATTTGCATCAAATAACCTTATACTTCAAATACTTATGCATGATCATCAGGGACTATGCCTGATAAAGGTGCCTTTTCTCAAAAATTTCCAAAGAGCATTTATATGAATGTTTCGACATGAGTTCAACATATCGTTGTATGATATTACTCACCTTTTTCCATCAATTTGATACTCTTCAGGTGTCCAACAACTAACGAGTAAGTCAAATGTGTATGTATAATGCATCAACTAGCACATATAGAAGATATGTATGTAAAATGCATGAATACGCACAAAGAATTCACTTGAATGGTCAAAGTTTTCACCTTTATGCTCAACATTCATCATGTCAGATTCCATAACACAATCAACCAGAAATCCATCGATTTCTCACAACCTGCATATCCGCCATCAAGAGAGAAACATGAGAGGACGACTCTAGAGGGATGGATCCATATCCACACGCTGCACGATAGAAACCTCTTGCACTACACGGCAGAAACCTCATGCTATAACAATGTAAATAGCACAATAATCGCATGGCAGAAACCTCATGCCATAGAAATCACAATTTCACAATAATCGCACGGTACAAACCTCGTGTCATAATCATTCCAATTGCACGAATAACTCACATGCCCAATTTTGGTCCATATCAGGGACCATATGCATGTGACGTATGAGTACAACTCCAACATGGATTACATCCTCCAAATAATCATTATGTTCAATTAAGTATCAAAGGCTTAAACATGAGCTCTAACATAAATAAGGGAATTCAAGCAGTCATATAACAGTTTAAGGCAAATCACAAGAATAACATGTTTGAATGTGTGCTCATAAAATAATGTGCAACTATGCCCAAATCAAGTATATTATCAATCTTAAGAATGGCTCATCATGTCCCAAAATAAAAGGTGTCATTAGCCTGAACATTATCTCTAGCATAATTTGTTATGCTCGCATAGTCAAACAATAGAATAAAACATAGAACAAGTAGAACACATAACTAAATAAGGCACAAAATAGTCGAGAATCTATCTCGAACATGAATAACCATGGCACATGCATATACGCTCATCACTTCGCATATACATCACCCACGCATGTATCAAACAATGTCATTTATTAGTAAAAAAATTCTCAACCACAGTTAGGCAAGACACTTACCTTATCCAGCTGGTCTAAAGCTCCAAAATTGCTTTTCCTTTAGAAATCACCTCCAACCGATTCAAATCTAACCAAACATCATCCAAGAAAGTCATCAATGCTATAATAAGCAATCTCAATCAATAAGCTTCGATCTTTGAAATTTTTTTACCAAAATCAACAAAAGTCAATCCAGGCTCGCGTACCAGAAATCTAAAACCAATACCAAATCCTGATGATCCATAACCTATCATGTCCAAATATGTGGTTAGATTTCAAATTCGAGTCCAAATCGATATTCTAAATCTCAAAATATACTCTCTAAGTTGTGGGCTTCCTTATTTTAGGTGTAGAATAACCATGAGGAATCAAGATATATAATCAAAACCAAGTAAGAATTACTTATCATCAATCATGGGGTGAAAATCTCCTCAAAAATCGTCTCTAACCGAAGTCTAGATCTCAAAAAATAAAAAATGAACTAAAAATCCCGAAAACCAACTATTTATATTGTCGATGAAACCTCCTTCGCGAACATGACCGGACCATCACGCTCACGACTCACAAATTCTGATCGCGATCAATATCTCCTTCGTGTTCGCAGAAAACCCACCGTGTTCGCGGAGAATGAAACCTGCCCCAGCCAAAACCTTCTCCGTGTTTGCGGGACATCTTTTGTGTTCGCATAAGCCAAAACCATTCCCCTTCGTGTTCACGTACCTTCCCTCGCGAACGCCTAGAACAAAATAATCCAGCCCATTCTTTTCTTTGTGAACGCAAAACAATTCTCGCGAACACTACTAAAAAATGGCCTATTTCCGAATGAAATATTCCTACCGAAAATAAGTAATCGGAAATTTTCGACGGAATCGGTCAGAAATGGCATAAAAATATATTTTTCAATTTTTAATAATAATTATGGCAGATATTCCGTCTATATCCATCGCAAAATTTGACGAAAAATACCGCGAAGGCATTAGCGACCGATTCGGTCGGAAAAATATTTTTTTTAAAAAAAAAATTGCGGCCGATTCGGTCGCAAAAATTTATTAAAATGAGGTCTGGCTTTCTTGATAACATTGACGATCGGAAATTAGCCATTTTCTAGTAGTGAAACGCGATGACCACCTGACACCTGCAAAAACCAACAATCTCAAAATGGCCCAAAATGATCTGAAGTCATCCGAAACTCACCCGAGCCCTTAAGAATCCCGTCTAAACATACTAACTATGTTCGTATACCACTCACGAATTTAATAGCATATGTGATCAAACACCGAAGTGGTGTGTAATATACACTTTTAAAAATTGTGGTGTATAATATTATTCCCGTATTTAATATGTGTGTTAAAAGAGACCCGTAAACAAGATCGATGGGTAAAGAATGTATTTTGCTAATTTTTATGGCACAAAATCATTTGTATTCATAGATTGTGGGATGATCATAACTACAAAATTTTAAGAACTTAATACTATTATTAGCTGAGCCTATGCTATTAGTAGCAGTGGAAGTGTTAAAAGGCAAATGAAAGAAAAACACAACAATGGCAATAATGCCATGTCAAAGTTTACCCCACTTTGAAGCCATCTTTTTAAAATTCCAAGCAAACCACATACGCAAAAGTCACTCTACAGTCTATACACACTTTTCACCTACACTACACACTGTCTCTATCTCAGCCTTCTCCTCTCTCTCTCTCCTAAAGCAAAGCAAAGTCGAGAACAATAGTAGTAACAAAGCAATAGAGAGAGAGGAGAGAAGATCCTTTACCAATTACTCCTCCTGCAACTGCTTGGCGCAGAAAAAATATGACTCATCAGACCGTCAATGGCAGCAACCATAACTCACATGATCCAGTACCACTTCAAAGTCACCCTCATTACTACCCACCCCCTTCTTCATCATCTTCGAAAGCTTCTTTCAGAGGCTGCTGTTGTTGTCTATTCCTACTTTTCTCCTTTTTGCTTCTACTAATACTCGCCGTCATACTAGTTATCGTCCTCGCCTTGAAGCCCAAGAAACCCCAATTCGACCTTCAACAAGTGGGTGTTCAGTACGTGGGCATCACTCCCAACTCCGTCATTGCTGCTGCAGCGTCATCTGCCTCTGTTTCTCTCAATATCCACATGGTCTTCACCGCTGTCAATGATAATAAGGTGGGAATCAAGTACGACGAGTCCAGGTTTACTGTCATGTACCGCGGGATTCCACTCGGTCGGGGAATCGTTCCCGGGTTTTACCAGCCCGCTCACAGTGTTCGGCGGGTCGAAACTACGATCGCCGTGGATCGGGTCAACTTGCTCCAGGCCGATGCAGCTGATTTGATCCGTGATGCGGCGTTGAATGACCGGGTCGAGCTTCGGATTTTGGGTGATGTCGGAGCTAAGATTCGGATCCTTGGGCTTACTTCACCCGGTGTACAGGTTAGCTCTTTGCTTCACCGTTTTAATTTCTCTCTCTAAGATTGCCCTGTTTTTTTGGTCTTTCTGCATTTTCTCTGTCTAGACTTTTAGTACATTTTGTGCTCTAGAAACGCTGCATTTGCAGTGTAGAATATCAGCTTCGTCTCTCTCTCACGCGCACACACGCGAGAGAGACAAGAATTGGGGATCGGTGCTGACGTGTACGTTTGGTGCTACTAGCTTAGCTTTAAGAATTTAGGGACCAATTCAAGTTATATAATAATAATGTTAGTGTAGTTTAATGCTTTGTCCATGGGAGCTTGGTTACATTGCTCGTGCTAATTAAAAGAGCAAGTTTGTTGTAAGTATCATTCGCGTAAAATTAGTTAATTTATGATTAATTCTTACCATTTTCTTATTTTTGTAGGTTGCCTACTCACATTATTAGAAGATAAAAATAAAGATTAGAAACTCATCATAAAAATTATATAAACAATTACCTTATATAAGAAATTAAATCCTTTACTAAATATATTTTAGGTAATATATTGAACTTTTTATACACCAATACTTTTAACAAGAATTAGGCTATTGTGCTACTTAAGGAATATTTACAAATTACAAGTAGCCACATTTTATTAATGTGGATTGATAATTTATAAAAGATGGTATATAATTGCTATTATTGCATACACTATAGGAGGGAGCCTTGGAAAAATGGTCAAGTTGTCTTCGTGTGACCTATAAGTCACGGGTTCAAGACGTGGATTCAAGTGCTTTCCCGGACCCCGCGTGAACGCAGGATGCCTTGTGCACCGAACTACCCTTTTTTTAATACACTATAAATGCAAATTTAGGCACCCAGAGGCCAGAAACCAATATAGTGAACCAATCGCCCTTAAAGTAGTAGGAAATGAATTCTACATTTGCCAAAGCCAACATGGTATATTGTTGGTCCGTCCTTAAAGTAGTAGGAAAAGGGTGTTATTTACCAAAAGCCAATCTGGTTTCTTCTGGATTTGGTTAGGTCCAAAAGTAGGGGAAGCAAAAGTGGGAAAAAGGACTCAAAAAAGAAGGGGAAACTGAGAATCTAATAATTAAAGAGTGGGGATTTGGATGAATGATTCCATGAGTGTAGGAATGTTTTTCTCCTTTAGCTTTCTAAGTTTCAACAAGAACCAATAATTTGAAGGAATGGGAGCCACCCACATTGCCTATCATGTCTAGTAGTTTGTTGTCTAGCTATACAGTACTCTGCCATTTCTGAAATTTTTTTGAGCTGGTTTGCCGTAGTTTTCTGGATTCCCCACTACGCATGACCCAACAAACTATTTACTCTCTGAACGGCACTAAAATTTTCTCCTAGTACTGTGTTTGTGGTGTGCACTGCTTACAACTCCTGCTATTGGATCTTTATTGAAAGGGACTTTCTTGTTGAATAGTGCTCCAAAACTTAGTGGCTTTTGATATAGTGGTAGGACCATGGCGCGTTATGATGTGTGGGTTAGGTACACGTCACTGGTTCGCATTCTACCGTGCAAAGAAAAATTTGATAATTAAGTGAAGAAGTGCAAAGGGTTGGGCCATTTTCCTGAATTTTGAACCGTGCGCCACTAATCCTCGGAGAGAAAAAGTTTGTCTATTATTTAGTTTTGACACTAGTTTTTAGTAGTTACTTGATAACTTACGTCTTGGACCATGGTCAAGCATAATTGCTGGTAATAGTGCTCCGATCCTTAGTTATATCATGTTTCCATGCACTTTTTTAAGGAGCTTAAGTGAAAATCAATTTGTTGCTTGTTGAGCTATAATTGTATCCTTTAATCAGCTTGCAATATCAATTCAAGAAACAAACAACTTACAGTATATGTCATCATTAAAAAGCTGTCTCCTTTGTTTCATTTATAACCAAATTATTACTAGCTATCCGTTTCCAACATTTCCCTGTTCTCTTTGCTGACTTTTTGAGAGGCTGACACTTTCTCTCCCACTTTCTTGAACTGTTTGTCTTCCTAAATCAAGGTTCATGTTATTCAGCTTTTGCACAGCTTAATTATTGAGATATCATTGAATGCAAGTGATGGTGCTTTCCCTATTTAGTGCATGCTTCAAACAAGTAGAAACATTTGAAATAGGATATGATCATGGCATCACTCGTGAAGCGATTTCATCGTATTTTTAATGATATTGACGAATCGAGAATGTTTTCTGCCGAATTAATGATTACATCTTGTGGCACTTCAGTAATGCTTGTTTTAATCTTCCCTAAAACTCCCGATCTGAACTATTTTCAGCTCTTCACGATCACGAGTTACCTTCACTTCAAAAAAAAATGAATCTTATGTTGGTATTATTAGTATATTAATCCTTTAATTGAACAATAGATGAGTGAATCAGAAACATAACGTAACTGAGAATGGTTGCTGGAGCAGGTATCCGTGGATTGCGCAATAGTGATCAGCCCAAGGAAACAGGCTCTCACCTACAAGCAGTGTGGATTCGATGGCCTTAGCGTATGACAAATACTCCTAATTAACTGGTCTTAATTTGTCTGCCTTTGGGACTTTTCCAAAGCTACATTTTCTCTTTAATTCCACAAAGGGAGATGTACTATTAGTAGTCGGTAACAAGTGCACATGCATATCATTGGAAAAAAGGTTAAAAAAGAAAAGGCGCACATGCATCTGCTTCTACTTCATAGAAAAGCAAATTGAAACCCATAACATTTGAAACTTCTTCTTTTAGATTTAGAAAAATGACAAGTCAGTTACTGTAGCTAAAGGGTATCTTGTTATTAAAATAGTTTTTTTATTCTTTTTTAAAGACTTGGACTAATAGGTATTCCACGACTCATTTATTGTATTCATTAATTATTATAGTGTACCTTCTGAACTCTAGAGGTCCAATGGTAGAATCTGCCAAGTTTGGGAAATTAATAAACCTTAATCTTATGCACATTTACACTACCCTCCTCCCCCTTTTTCCTTCTCTTCACTCTTCCTTTCCTTTTCCCAACCGTAACTATTGCATGATATGAAATCCAAAATAATGCTGCCAAAGAATAATTTCAATCTTTAAGGATATCTCGAACTATAATATAATTGAACAAGTCTTGTGGTAAACAACGAAAGAGTAAAAAAAATATGAATCGTTGATAAACTTTTCAAACGAATAGTGAAACCCAAAAGAGGTCTGAGCAAGTTGACACTACAAAAATAGCAAACAGTTCAACATCCATTTTTCTTTGAAGAAACTAAAGATGCCCTTGCTTATTTTTATAATTTTTTTCAAACTACATTCTTTCTACCACACAAAGACTAGTTCCCGTTTGGCCTCTGTAGAGTTAATCACAAATTCTAACCAAATCCCAGAATATTTTCTTTCCACAAAAACACTCGTACTTGATTAAACTTTCAACAAAAATTGGTTTTGGCCATGGTTTTAGAGATATGCATGCAAAAATAATGAATACAAAATATGTATCTTTCGAAACACATTTTATCATAGTTTAGTGATATATATTCACTTTAATTTAACTTTCGTTTAGCGTAAACACCACCTAGTGCAAATAAATTTTTACCATGTTTCAACCCAACTAAAGGAAAGGCATTTTGGCAAGAGATAATCTAAATAGACCACGCCGCCACATTAGCTCCTTCAATCCTCACATTACTACACAAATCCAGCACTTGGTACTCTACTATACGACCAAAGTGTATCAACGTTTCTACTACTAGAGAGCTAATAGAGCCTTTTGATAGAAATGATGATTGGTTAAAATTTCACACGGCATAGAGCACATCTGACTTTAAAACCTAGAGGTACACATACAGACACTATCACAACAAAAATACACATCATTTAAGCTAAAAAACAAAAAATAGTTTGACCCTCAAACAGAGCTAAGATAGAATGTCATGTCTGAACCTATCATAGATAAGGAGCAGAAGAGAGCATTCCTTACCCCGGAAATGGTTCACGAGACTCGAAAGAGCAGTCTTAATTTTTGCCTGTAAATCAGGATGACAATTGCTCCTTCATCCATAGTCAAACATAAGAGGCAAATTCAGTGATCAGACAATTTTTCAAGACAGTGGCATAAAGGAACTATTTCAAGGTTTCATGTTATGCAAACTAACACACTAAAATCCAATAGGTGTTTAGTAGCATTCGGATAAACAGCAGTCTTCAGATGACCTCATAAAATAAAGATAACAATACCAATAGTAACTTGTCAAAACTTCTGTTCTACAAAATCGCATGTGTTTTAAGCTCGGCAACAGTTGAAGTTCAACTAAAATCCTAAAGGCACTTGAAAGCATTTAGATAAACACCATTCATTTTACAAAGACCTTGTAAAAATAAAGAAGAAAAAAAACAATAACGTGTCCAACGCTTCTCTTCTACCAAGATAGCATGGGCTTAGCTCAGCAAAGAGTTGCAGTTCTATAATGTCACTCAAGCCTTCAACCGACCATAGAACTTCTGCTTCTCCTGGGTGGTCTGGAAGCGACCATGTCCAAACTTTGAGGATGTGTCAATGAACTTGAGCTTAATCTCCTCAAGAGCAACACGAGAAGTCTGGTTGAGAAGTGATTGACGAAGGGTAACAACCCTCTTCTTAGGACCTACACAGCATCCCTTGATCAACAGGTAATCTTCCTTCACCACACCATAATGGGGAAATCCACCCATAGGTGTGATGTCTTTCTCAGTCCTGCCATCGTCAAGTAAGTGTAAGCAACAAAAGTGGAAACTAAAAAGTGACTAGCACAATCAAGGCACAACAAAGCTTCCACAGTGCCACTAGTACAAAATATGAGATATCTTCAGCAAGCGGAGTATAAAACATTGTTGAGTAAGAACTTTAAATCAAGCAATTTCAAATTGCAATTACCACTACCAAACCTAACAAACACTAATTGCAGACAAATAGAAAGTAGAATATCAGCTTTGCGGGAAAGGAATTTAGCAAGGAGAAATTATAAAAGAACCTGTCAAAGTCGGTAATAGCTGCATGTGACTCTTGCCCAGCTTTGCCAAGCTTGTAAACCTTCTTGTTCATCTCAGTACGGTGATGATATCCGTTTTGACCAGCACGGGCAACTGTGTAGGAAACTCTAGCAGGGTGCCAAGCACCAATACAAGCAACTTTACGAAGACCCCTATGGGTTTTGCGAGGAAGACGTGTCACACCCCAACGTGTTACGACACCTTCATAACCCTTACCCTTGGTAACACCAATGATGTCGATCATCTCATCCTTCTGGAAAATAGCATCAACTGGTACCTGCTTCTCAAAGAAACCATATGCATAGTCAACCTTTTGGGCAATAGTCCCACCATTCACCTGAATTTCCATCAAATGTGCTTTCTTCTGTTTCAGCCCCTTCATCTTCCTTATCTGAAGTAAAATGTGGTAACCAATACAATGAGTATCCAAATAACTAATTTGTTCAAATACCCAGGACATCTAACACCTGGAAAGAATAATTAAATCAAAACATGAAACTAAGCCAGGACAAGAATGCCTAGCACGCACGACCACCTACAGAAACAAATTCACTACATAAATAACCAGTCAGCATTTGAGAATTAGAAAGAACCAAATAGATCTTTTTTTATAAGGGTGGTGTTCGGGCAAGCTTGCACGCACCTAACACTATTCCATCAGTACCTACTACCTCCCACCAGCAGCACAAGTACCAGGCTTAGACAAATAGGACGAAATCAACTAGTGTTTTTTCCTCCACCGGGATTTGAACCTGACACTTCATTGACCACTAGCAACTCCCTTGGGTGCAAAAACCAAATAGATCTACTGCTCAGCAAAATGGGAATAATTTAATCAAAATATGAAACTAGATCAGTATAAGCATGCTTAGCACACATGACCACCTAAACCAACAACTTCACTACATAACTAATCCTTTTTCTATAACTTACATAAATAGCCAGTATTCATGAATTATAAAGAACCAAACAAATCTGTTGCTTAGCAAAATATTATAACATGCACGTCCACTAAAATTATCCTAAATGAGCTTATTTAACTTTAAGAGGTGCAAATATCAATGAGAAACTAATTCTCACAGCACCTCTTATTACAAGTATCTCAAACATGACAGTTTGTCTGTCTAAAATTTCGAAAAAGCAGGGGCAAAATATAGAACACATTTTATATATGCAACAAAAGCAGATATGGGTCATGGTCCCCAAAAAAAAAGTAGCTGTGAGAGATGGCATTAGGATAGTACCTGAGTGTGAGCCAACACACGGATGACTGAAGAATACTTCTTCAGTTTCTCCAACTGCGCCTGGATATCTTTTTTACCTTCATCAGTCTCGTATTTCTTTGAGTACTTCAAAAAGGCCTTCTTCTTGGACTTGCACCAATTCTTGTAGAACCTCCTCTTTAACTCTTCACTGAGATGCTGAGCCCAAACAGTGTTGAGGCAACGCAGGCCACGAGGTGTCGTAACATATCCAACAACACCAACTATCACCATTGGGGGTGTTTCAATTATAGTGACTGCTTCACATGTTTCTTTCTTGTGGAGTTCTACAATCACCAGATAAAATGTAATGTTTAACATCAACATACCAGTTTTCCCCCTAGGGTAAAGGGGAGTAGGACAATGCAAGAAACCCAATCAGTATCAAAATCTAATTACTAACACAGCTACCAAATAATGTGAATACAGGGCTAAAATACTATACACGAAAAGGGGATTTTACTTGATCCAGGTTTTTCTACATCTCTCACAATGTGGGTCATTCCAGCCTTGTAACCCAAGAAGGCTGTCAGCTTGCAGGGTTTGCTTTGATCATCCTTAGGGAATGCCTTCACTGAAAAAACAAAAACAAGAAAAAAAGACAAATGAAAACAGATGAAAATGACAAAGGATGACTCCTTTTTTTTCACTGAGCTTTCCTGGGATTTGTTAAAAAGCTATTTAAACCATCATATCATAACTACAACCTTCTCAATTTAATGTAAAGTAGAAAATTTGATTAAAATTCTACTATCAATTATCTCGTGGTACTGAAAAGAATATAGCATACCCTTTCCCCTGTGACGAGCAGCTCTCTTTCTGGGCAGAAAGCCCAAAGACCCGTGTCTTGGGTGCTCAAACTTCCTATGAGACATTTTTCTCGTCCTTCAATCTGTAAACACAACACAAAATGTAAATAATACAATTACTACGCTTCAATCCCAAAGAAAATCAAAGTCAGATATATGTATACAATTCAGCACTATTACCCCAATATTACTTTGCTTATAAATAATTTTCATTTCACTGCAAATTAGGAGCTCGCTAAAAGCCTAAACATATATAAGCAAATAAATGACGCACAAATCTATCCAAAAATTAACGATAACACATCCAAATAGACCTTAAAAAACGTGAAACCGTATACAGGTTCATAGCTATATCACTAATTTACTAAGCTTTTGGCATTTGATAATGCCATAATAGCTCATTTAAAAGAGCAACACGAATGTGTCCACCAATTCTCCAGATGTATATTGAGATTTACGTAAAAAATAGCTAGCTAGAAATTCAGAAATTAGAATGCATACACAAGTTTGAGGGAAAGAGGAGGGTACCTGCAAGGGACGGCTTTGGGAGGCTGCAGCGAAGAGGAAAAACCCTACTCAAACTGAGATTTATATATTGTCGTTTTGTTGCCGTACGGGGGATATTAGGCTTTTGGCCCAACTTTCTTTTGATCGTTTTGTCAAGCCCAGCTATCAGAGCTGCAAATTAGATTAAGGGATTTCTTTCCTATAAATATAAAAATCCAAGGGAACTTTCAGAAATGACTACCTTTAAAGGAGCTTTTAACAATTCATAGCTACATTTTATGTATTTACGTTCCGTAGCTAGTTTTGAACAATTCGTTGTATTTGAGTATATTTGAATACACTGTTAAGCTATATATTTTTTTAAAAAAATTATTTTTATTTTTTTCACGTATATTTGAGTGTATTCGAATATATTGTTCAGTTGTATCCAACCTTATTTGATGTAATAAGATTGAACATATTCGAATGTATTTGCATTAAAAAATGACGAAATAAAGAATCTGGTCAAATCTTCAGCAACAATACAAAATACACTATATTTAAAAAAGGAATAATACTATCAAACCAGTCGGATCTTCAGAGATATACAAAATACTACTGTATTTACACTAAAAATGAAGAATACATTTAAATCCTTTTAAAAATTAACTGTATTTAACTAAAAATAAAGAATACAGTCAAATCTCCAACGAGAATATAAAATACACTATATTTAAAAATGGAGAATACAATCAAACCCCGTCAGATCTCTGGTGAAAATCCAAAATACACTTAAGACATCTAACAAAAATATAAAATACATTGTATTTATACAACGATTTTTTGACGTGAAAGGCAGTGGAGAAGAAAGAGACGACACTAATGTTTAAGGGTGATTTTGCGGTGAGGGGTGTATACAACGGAGGGTAGTGATGTGCGGGGAAGAGAGAAAGAGGCGGCAATTTTGTTGGGCTCCGTAAAACTCCGCCGAAAAAGCGGGTTGAGAGAAAAGATTATACTGTGTAATAACTTTGTGTATTTGGTATTAGCTATGATGGGTAAATTGAAAATTCTTTGTAGCAATAAAAAATAACTAAATTAAAAGATAATTATGATCCATTAATAGCTCTTAGATTTAGCTATGACAAGTAAATATTTTTTTAAAGTAGTGAGATTCTTTTTATAAAATATATAAAATCTGGTCAAAATATTCAACTTACATATAACTCGGATATAATTATGTTGTTTTGTGTATTATACATTGCACATATAAATTATAAATCCGGCATACAAAATATACACAACTTAAGAAACAATATTGTTCTTCTTCCTCTTTGTGTTTAGATCTAAAATTCTAACTCAAACTCTCTCAAATTTGCGATATAAACTCCAAAGAATATTCTTAAGCATTTGCATCAACAATTCAAACAAGTAATAATTTCGCAAAACTCAATTTTAAATTCAAAGCTTCTCTAATATATTATATTAGAATAAATTTTATATTCTAAGCTTCGAATTATCAAAAGCCTATTTAACTAGTTTCAGACCTAAACAAAATAATTATATAAAAAAATACGCTCTCCTTCCTCATGCTCTCGCCACATGTTAAGTAACGTGCGCCGCCTATGTCAGTCATGACGAAAGGGAGAGGCAGAGGACTTGGTCGAACTAAGATGCAAACATTAGCTACCTTTGTAAGCTCGGTGGTAACTCGTAATCAACCACCGATGGAGAAATCAACACAAGAAATAACTACACCACCGTCAGTCCCAATTGCAGATCCAACGACAAACGGAGGCACTGCATGTGAAATTGGATCTTCATCGACAAATCTTGGTATCTCTAAGAGGCTAGATATAAACAACCTAGTGACAATTGGTCAATTAGCAACTTATCCACCAGTACCAGTCAATGGAACAATAAATCTATTAAATCAAGCTCGAAATAAAGTAAGTATACAAGGTTCATTAGAGAAATCAGTAGTGAAGGAGGTGGTGATGACAAATGAGTCTACTAGACCTAAAGCTCCATGGACAACTCTGTTTCAGAAGAATAGATTTGCCACCAATAGTATGTCACTATCCTATATTCCACCATAAATTGTTGATGGCCAACCCATGGTTCAATTAGATAAATTAGAGGTAGAAGAGGTAGAGAACAAATGAAGATATGCATTGATAGCATGTATCATAGGTGATGGACTAGGGTATAATGCAATGAAGCGATACATCAAGTTGCATTGGTAAAATGTCACTGAACCTAAATTGTTCTATCATGATGAAGGCTATTATATTATTAGATTTCAATCTGTAGTAGATGCTCGAGAGATATTATATGCTAGCCCTTACTCAATTTCTAATAAGCCTGTCATTCTAAAACTATGGACTCCTGATTTTGATTTCACAGAAGAAATCCCTACTGTTATGCCATTGTGGGTAACGTTTCCTAAGTTGCTTATGTCGTGTTGGGGAGTTGGCTCTTTAAGCAGAATTGCTAGTGTAATTGGGACTCCTATCATTGCTGATGAGTGTACTACTAAACAGACTCGAGTATCCTATGCTCGAATGCATATTGAAGTTAATGTTACAAAATAATTCCCCACTGAAATCATGGTTATGGACCCTTATGGAAAGAAGTTTCTGCAAGATGTAACCTATGGCTTGAAACCTGCTTATTGTGACAAATGTTTGGTTGTGGGACACAAATGCACAAACCAGGCACAACCTGTAATGCAGCAGCCCAATCAGACAAGGAGAACAAGGAGTAGCAAGGTTATCACATAAGAATGGAGAACCGGGGGGTCTATACATATTGCATCTGGACCTCAGAATGTAACTCCATCCGAGGAACAACATCAAGAAGGTTATTGGTACTCAATTTTTTCCTCATATATTTTTAAATATGTATATATATTTTCAAAATAGTGCACATACATATTACATGCACAACTATTTCTATAATTTTTAAGGCTTTAAATCAATTTATTTCTGCATTTTTGTTATACAAATATCCAATAATTATCCCTCATATTATTTTTATAATGATTTGATCATCTAAACTCATCATTTATGCCCATATAGGGCTTAAATATTTTAACTATATTTTTTAGGGCTAGAATTGCACATTTTTTAACAATAGCCCATATATATATGCATAATTATATTATCTATACAGAAAATGACTTTCTATATTTTTATAATATTAAATAATTATTTTAAATTATTTTCATGCATAAATGATATTTTTATCATTTATTAATTATTTTTATAAATTCTTTTAGTAATTTAAATGGGTATTTAAAACATAGCCCCTTTCCTAATTAAATTCGGACCTAGACCAACCCCAATTTCCCCTGGCCCAAACTCATTAGCCCAATCCCTTACCCACTTAATCAACCCGACCCAGAACCCCCGACCAATCATGGCCGTTGACTCTGAGATCAACGGCCCATACTATTCCTACCCTTTTTAATTACACCCAAACCCCTAACCCTAATCCATTTCACCCCACCCCGCCGCCTTCAAACTCTCTCGTCTCTCACCTCTTTTCCTCTCAAAACCCTAGCGTTGTAACCTTAATTCCCCCTTCGATTCTAACCAGATATGGAATCAACCGCGGATTCCCTTACCTTATTGGTCTCTCCTCACCAGTGGCTACTCGTTTATGACCCTATTTAGTTGCTTGCCTAACATGGCAAGCAAATCTTGCCAAAATCAAACTAAATCGGTTTAACTCTCTGATTTCTGTGGCTATTCCGGCTACATTCATCTCTGAGTTTTTGTGAGTAATGAACATGTTCATATCTTCTTTGATTCTTACTTACCCAAAATTAGGGTTTCAAATCCTCTCTAATTTGAACCAAATCTGGTTCAAACTCTATCGTTTAAACATTTTCTTCGTTTATATTTGCTCTATTATTTATGGATTTGTTGATTTTTAACCGATTTTGTGATTTACTTGAATCTAGGGTTTCAAACATTTCTTTTGCTTGAATTAAAACTCATTGGACTATGAGTTTCCTTTAATAAACTTCTGTATATGTTTATTTGGTACGAATCTGTGTTATTCTCTTTTACTCTGGCTGATTTGAGTGTTTTACCCAAAACTAGGGTTTCAGATCTTTCTAGATCCAATTTGGTTTTCAATTGCTTAATTACTTTTCTTTAATAATGTCATTTATGTGTCTCTAAATATTTTACTACAACTCTTTGTTACTGCTGCTTCTTACTCGCCCTAAATTTGGGGTTTTGATTCTTTAGAATCAAACTAAGTCTGTTCGATTCTAGTTTTCCTTTTTGAATTCTCTTATCTACATTATGTACCCTATTTTACTGCTGATTTTTGGTTTACTGAAAATTAAGGTTGAAATCTTTTATTGATTTTCCGATACTTCTTTCCTTCCTCATATGTGACTAATACTTTCCTTATTTACCATGAGACTGCTTGTAAATTGATATTTTCCTCATTTCTATTACTCGCTTGATTACATGTTGTTATGCCCTGTTAATTTACTGAACCTTGCATTATTTATTCTGTGATTGATTTCTTTCCTTATTCATATATGTTTGGTTACTTCCCTTATTTGTTCACTTAACTGAACACTATTTAAACCCTTTTTTCCTTTCCCCTTAAGACAACTCTCGAGCTTTTCGATTCTCATTACTAAAACTTAAGCTCTCTTTCTTTCTCTTGTTCTGATTTCTGCACTAAGTGCCTATTATTTGGCCGGCTGAAAACTAAGGCCAAATTATTCTGGAACTTAACTGTTACTGTAACTTTACTTTCTTTCTTCTCGACTGGTATGCCCTAACCTTTGCAATTTCCTTCTTTATCCTTTGTTTGATTAACCTATTTCAATTCCTAGCATGATTCTATCCTTTATCTGGTAATTTGATAATACTGTTAACTTAAGACTAAGGCATTTATAATAACAGGAATCCTCTCATAAATTAGTTTAAGGTTTGATTTGTTTGTCAGCTTTATATCTGTTCTAAACTATGAGCATGTAATCGAGTATGTTTGTGCTTAATTCATATGTCCTATCTGCTCAATTCAAATGCTTCTGCCTAATTGCTTCTGTAACTAAACCATGATTGTTTCAAATACTAGCATAAGTACTTATCTTAATCAGACTTCACTAGGTTTGAACTGTATGCTGAACCTGAAGCTGGTTTGTTTTCTTGGAGCAGTTCT